CCAGAAACTTGTTTATTCCTTCCTTGATCTCATTATTAACCTGTTCATTGATTAATAAAATGCTATTCAGTCTCCATGAATTTGAATGTTTTTGAGTTTTTTCCTTGAGGTTGGTTTCTAGTTTCAGGCCCTTGTGGTCAGAGAAAATGCTTGATACAATTTCAATTATCTTGAATTTTCTGAGGCTTGTTTTGTGTCCTATCATGTGATCTGTCTTTGAAAATGTTCAAAAAATATTACACTTATTAATATCACCATTGGTTTTTATCAGAAAATTCTCAAGTTAGCAGAGAGCTGTCATGGTCATGTGTGATAGATCCACGTTGTTCAAAATTCTCATTTTGTCTCAAAAGCTCCAGTTTTATCATTGGGAACAAATCAGACACTTGTTTCCTAGAAATGATTGATTCACTTAAAAAAATGATTTCCATAAGATTATGCAAAATAACACAGTCTGAATAGTCGTTGTTAGTTGCTTTCTTAGTAAAAATGATGTTCTATGAAGAAAGTGGCTAGTTCAGCCTGCATTTGAAACAGTCACACAGTGTTTTCCCCAAGGTAACCATCATATTTCAGTGTATGCTTTAAATGTTTATGCACGCATAGAATATTCAAGAGATTTATACTCATGGATAAAACTGGCATTTTTGTTTTTAACTGAGTGCATAGTTGTGAATAACACAGTGAATAGTACAGTTTGCTGTCACTGCCTTGATTTGTGTTGTGATGCCAGCCCATTTCACACCATCTGTGCAAATATCAACACAAGGTCAAATAATGTGTTAGTATTTTTATGAAATTTTTTTTGATCATGCAGATATTCTGAAAGGGTCTCAGTTACTCTCTGTTTTTTTTAAAAAATTAATTATTTTTTTCAGATTTTATTTAATTATCTTTAGAAGGGAAGGGAAGGAAAGAGGGAGAGAAATATCAATGTGTGGTTGCTTCTGGTGCTTCCCCTGCTGGGAACTGGCCTGCAACCCAGGCATGTGCCCTGACTGACTCTCTGAGTTTTGTAGAGAACATTGAGTGCTGCTGGCCAGGAACAGTCTCATCATAACAGGAAGGGAGGAAGCTGTCAAAGACTAGGATCATATCAGAAGGACTGAGGAGCCAACCTGAAGAGGCTTTCATTGATTAAAGATGGGGCAATTTGAGTACTGATAACTACCCTGGATAAAATGTATCAATTGTGTTTAAATATATAAGTTCCTACTCATACATGAAACTAAAATACTTCGTTGGTTATCTGGAGAGGACTTAGGAAATGAAGTCATTCTTCTGAAAATTGATAAATATAGATAAATTAAAAAATCTAGCATTTATTTTCCTTTTGTTTGATGAACTGTACCTCTGGATAATTAAATAAGAGATTTTTCTCTCTATGGAGTAATCCTAGTTAGCAAATGAAGACGTAGTAGAATGATAGAGTACACTGTTTTCAACCCTTAATTGTAATAATGGATCTAGGCAATGGTGCCCAGTGACTGATTATACTACCATCGTATTTGCTTCCTATGGAAGATTATAGTACCACACATAAAGAACTCATGCCACCAAATCAGACCTTAATCAGATTAGGCTTTAAATTTAACTACCAGTTTACAGAAAATACGGAAGATAGACAAATATATTAGTGTTACCATGGATGCGTAATTGGCAAAATCCAGAATGCTGGAAACTCTAGGACAAACCACCAAGATCTGTTAACAAATAAATCGTGAGGGGAAAAAGAACGAATGATAAGAAACGTCTAGTTGAGAAGACAAATGGAGAGAAGGGGAAGGGTCAAGACAAGCAACATGTGTAAAGGACCCGTGGACAAAGGCAGCGGCGGGGAGGGTTGGCTGTGGGAGGTGGGGGTGGGCAGGGCAGGGCAGGGGAGAGCGATGGGGGAAACATGGGGACAACTGAAACTGAACAAGTTAAAAAAAGAAAAATACAATGTGTAGACCTTACTTGGTTTCTGATTTGTACAAATTAACAGTTAAAGAAAATGAGAGGATATGAATTTGGGAAGTTTGAACTATGACTAGATTTTTAGATTGAAGGATTATTGTTACTGTTTTTGGTATAGTAGTGCTATTGTAGTTATATATATTTTATTATATATATCTTAAAGAGTTCTTATTTTAGAAAATAGATAATGCCAATTACTTACACAGGAAATGGTCCCTTTGAGATTTGCTTGAAAATAGCCAGTGGTCTGTGTGTGCCTACAGGTAGGCGTGTGTGAAATGAGGTTGTCCCTGAGTCGGTGACTGTTGGAGCCGGGTGGTGGGTACGCAGTGGTTCACTGTCCTGTTTTGTCTCCTTTTGCTCCTGTTTGGTATTTCCTGTAACACTGCTGTTTCCACTCACTCAGATTTGCAACAGCAGTTTTAAGGAATCATTTCTCTCTTCTGAAACATTGGAAGAAAAAGAAAATATATGAAAATGTTACTTATTTTCCTCACTACAGAATTTTTTATTTAAAAATATGAAATATTTCTGAAAACCTAAAGGATAGAGCATAATACTATGAACACATGTGTACCAATCACCCAAGAAATAAAACATAAAAATGTGATGTGTACAGTTGTTTAGTAACATTAAACTCCCTTACCTGAATTTGATGTTCATTTCTATGTGTGTGTCTCTCTATAAAAACATATTTTCTTACGTGTATGTGCTATAGAATACACTAAAGAATATATTGTATTCAGTGTGTATGTTTTAAAACTGTTAATGATATACTGTACATATTCTTAAAAGTTTTTTGGGTTGTATTTTCATTTGGCGATTTATACATACTGATACGTATTTTCATTTCTATACTGTGCTATATGAAAAAATTAAGAAATACTGCATTATTTTATTTGAAAGGGTATATTAGGTACATTATTTTACTTTAAGTGGTTTATTATGTACATATGCTCAATATATTTATGTATTTCAACCTCCAGATATCTTTTCAGGTAAAGTACCTCCAAATTTGAAGCATAGGGCATAGTTGTTAATCAGAAAAATATGTAATAAATACACTGTTTTCCATATGTTTCCAGATATTTTTGTTCATTTCAGAATATAGCTGTGTATTCCCTAATCTGTGCACGCTAGTATTTAAGATACTGGGTGTGTAGAATAAGACATGCAAGGTCTCTACCTTCATGGGACTTACATCATTTCAAATAGTGATGAAATCTATGGGTACATTTTAATATTGGAAGCTGAGGGGCTGATGGAGAAGTGGGATGTCCTCAGGTAGTGACCTGAAAGGAGGAGTCAGCCACACGAGAGCTGGAAGAAACCACCCTTGATGTTGAGAGGACAGCAAGATCTTCAGGTTGGGCCAGACTTACTGTATTCTAGGAACTGGTAGATGGCCGGTGTGGCTGGACCCCAGTGCGTACCACTAAAGATAAAGTGTTAGAGGTAGATGCAGTCCAGGTGGTCTAGGGATTGTTAAGCTGTGATAAAACAGTAAGATTTTACTTAAAGTCTGATGGGAAGTCATCGAAGGGTTTTTAGCTGGATAGCAACTTCATTCGATTTGTGGTTATACAAATCTATGTGGTGATAAAATGGTAGAGAACTGTACACTTTCCAGTGTCAGCTTCTTGGTTTGGCTGCTATCCTACAGTTAGGTAAAATTTAACCATTGAGGAAACTAGGTGGAAGGTCGGGGACCACTGTACTAGTTTGCAGTTTCCCGTGAGTCTTTATAATTACTGCAAAATAGAGAGTGAAAAAACCCCACCCTGTGAAATGGATAATTGGGCAGTAGGAATGAAAGCAGACTGGTTAGGAGACCGTAATCTCCTAGTGAGAGATGGTGATTGGTTGGATTTAGTCAGTAGCAGACATGGGTAGAAAAGCAGATGGATTTGAGATACTATAGAGATGGAGCAGGTTTTGGGCTGGTGTGGGGGAAAGGAGGTCTATACTTTTGTCTTGAACAATTGATGGTTTCATGTGATTTTGGGAAAGTTAAGATTGGGAGAGGAATTGGCTGAGAGAAGGAAACAATTTTTTTTTTTTATGTTGGGCTTGTTAGGTTGGGTAAACTATCAGAAACTGAGACTGGAGTTGAATGTGGAAGCTGAGCAGCAAGTAAATGATAATTACAGCTGTGGGATTAGATGAGATCAGTCAGGGCGGAAGAGGGGAGAGAGTGAAGAGATGGGAGCTGGGGATAGAGCCGCAGGGTCTAGACTCAGGGGCGTCCAACCTGCAGCCCGCGGGACGCATGCGGCTCAGGATGGCTGTGAATGTGACCCAACACAAAATAGTAGATTTACTTAAAACATTATGGATCTTTTTTGTGATTATGTGTCGCAATGTATTTACATGTGTGACCCAAGATAACTCTTCTCCCACTGTGGCCCAGAGAGGCCAAAGGGTTGGACACCCCTGGTAGAGGTTTGTCAGAGGAACAACAAATAGAGGACATCTAAACGAAGTGTGGTGACAGGAAGAACATCAGGAGAATGTGGAGCCCATTGAAGCCCAAAGAAGGAAGTGTCTTTAGAAAGAGGGCACCATCCGACTGGGATGTTGCTGAGATACTGAGTATGATGAGGGAAGAAGCAACCAGGAAGTTTTGGGAAGACCTCAGGGTGCAGAAGGCAAGCTAGTAGCTTGAGAAAGTGAATATTATATGGGGAAATGGAGAGAGCAAATCCAGACTTTCAGGGCATAGCAGAGAAATGGGGTAGCTAGTGGGAGCTCCTAGATCACATTTGTGTGCTGATGGGTATGATCCAGTTGAAAGGGAGGGAAGGTGGTGAAATATTACTTTCAGAGAAATACTAATTGGTGGAGCAAATACCTAAACATGCAGGAAGGGCTGGGGTCAAGAGGAGCTGTTGTTCTTTGAGTCTCAGTGTGCCAGCCAAAGGGTGTCCTTGAAAGGTAAGTTAGAGTGCATCACTCTTCGGCTTGTAAACTAACTTCCCATCTCACTTAGCGCAAAAACAATGGTCTTTCTGTGCCCTAATTTAAAGCAATGTTCTTTTTAGCCTTAACAATAACTCTCGGATTGTCGGACTCTTGGCTCAGCTGGAGAAGATCAATGCTGATTCTGCAGAATCAGACACTGCCAGATATGTCACATCAAAAATTCTTCATCTGGCTCAAAGTCAAGGTAAGCTTTAATCTCTTGGAATGTTTTTTTAATTCTTTAAAAGTGGATGCTAAGAATGTTTAAACTTTTGGTAGATGATTTTCTGTAAAAATTGAACTTTCTCAAATAGACTCAAGAAGTATAACATGGAATAACTGTGAAAGAAATTAATCTTCAAAGCATTGCTTCTAAAACAAGGGTGATTTGTGTATGAATTCCTTTCCCCCATCAATATTCAAATACCTAATTCCAGTGCTACTTGTTTTAGGATGTGCAGGCTCTATCATTCAATGGCTGGATGACCTTAGAAGAATTTTGAATCTCTAGGACTTAGTGGTATCATCTCTGAAATAGAGATAAAAGATATCATGTTTTTATTATTAGTTTTATATGAGAAGCATGTAAAAAGAATGTTTAAAATGTTCAATAAATGATATGTCTATTATATGAAGCTAGTATAACTTACTGCATTGGTATCAAGTCTTGATAGAGTACAAGAGAAAAATACTGACTTTACACCTAGGAACAGAAATATGAAAAATTTCAAATAAAATATTTGTGAATTAAGTCTAATTATACATTAAGAGATAAATATCATTGCTAAAGAGCACTTATTTCAGGAAGGTAAAATGGTTTAATACCAGGAAATATTTCTCAATTGATGCTAAAAAAAAGGAATTTAAGATTCTAAAACATGTACTTGATTAAAAAAGGCAACAAACCTGAGTTTTATTTTTTTAAATAGGTGTAACACAGCAGCTACCTTAATATTTAACAGTGACACTGAAGGCATTCTGTTAAAATTATGATCCAGATAATTCACAGTTAATATTTTAATATATTTTTTATTATCCTGGAAGTTCAGGTCATTGGAGTAGGTATTTGCTGTATTCAGGAGCTTAGTATCTATTAATCCTTCATTGTAGCCACAGACCTTTAATTTTTTTGATAATTTTCTCCTGTGCAACCCATCTGTTTTAGAGGGTGGTTGACAGAACTCCCAAACCCAGGCGAGGTCTCTGAAAGATTGTATTTGTTTCCAGCAAAACCTAAAATACCTGCACCTCTTAATTCAGAAAGTCTCTGTACCAGAATGCAGCCTTTGGAGCTATGCTTATCAACTAAGGCAGCTGCATAAGGATGTTCATTGTGTTAGTGCAAAGATAGATGTACCAGGTATATTTACTGTATTATCCTCAAAACAAAACAAAAACCAGCACAAATGAAACATCCTGCACATCTATAGATAACATTGGGTACCCTGCTTCCGCTAGTGTGGATTTTTCCCATCACAGCCTGGAAGCTCCTGCTTGAACATAACTGCTCCAAGGGCCCCCAACCATGCCATTACCAGAGACTGCCCTTTCTCCACCCTCCCAGCTCCACAGGGGTCTGACTCCTGACTGTTGCTTCGTGGGGTTGTGTGTACAGTGGCTGTTCACAGTACCTGGGATTAACCAGTCAACACAATACGAGTTCGTAGTGAATGATGTTCCCATTTTACATTCCTCTCTCATCCTCTGCTGTCCTCTTTTGTGCATTCTGTTGGTTTTTAAATTTATTTATTGAGTCTAGAGAGAGACAGAGAGAGAGACAGACAGAGAAACATCCATTTATTGTTCCACTTACTTATGCATCCATTGATGGTTTCTTACATGTGCCCTGACTGGGGATCAAACCCACAACCTTGTTGTGTCAAGGGGATGCTCCAACCAACTGAGCTACTCTGCCAGGGCATTGATTTTTTTTTTTTTAACTTAAAAAAAAATTAAGTATTTTCTTAGTGGTTCCTGAAGGGATTACAGTATGCATTGTATTACAGTGAACTTTAGATTAATACTAACTTAATTCTGGTAAAACATTGAAACTCTCTTCTAATATAGCACAGTTTCTTTTTCACTCTTATTATTGTCATACTTTTTATATTTAGACATGTTAGAAATGTAATAATATAATGTTACAATTATTATTTACCCAATTTTATGCCTTGTAAAGAAGTTAGGGGGAAAAGGTGGAAAATTCAGTAGCTTTTGAATGCAGGGAGGGAGAAAGCTGAGATTTATGTCCTGGGAACTGTCTGCATTTTGTATGTGGCTCCGACAGGGTCCTGTAAAAATGATTTAAGTGCATCCACAGTTGTAATTTTTATGTCCTCCTGATGAATTTGCTTGTCATTATGGAATTTCCTTCTTTATCAAGGTAATTTTCTTTGTCTTGATGTTTATTATTTTTGATAATAGTATCTCTCCTCCTGCTTTCTTACGGTTGTTGTTTGCATGCTTTAGCTTTTCCCATTCTTTTTCTTTGACCTTGTTTGTATCTTTGAACCTAAAGTGTGTCTTCTATAGACAGAAGTCTGACATTTTCTGCCTCTTCATTTTAGCACTTATTTTGTTGACATTTATTGTAATGTTGATTGACTTAGGTTTGTATATATATATTTTTTATTCTTTGTTTCTGCCTTGGGACCTGATAGATCCATTTATATATACCATTTTTGGCTATAGTTTTTATGTGTATCACATCTATATACATTATAAGCACTACAAGACAATTTTTGATTGAGACATTTGTGTGTATTTTAAAGACATTAAGAAAAAACAAGTGTTTATATTTATCAGCTATTTACTATTTCTGAAGCTCTTTATTCTTCTCTGAAGATGTGAGTTTGATCTGGTGTCATTTCCCTTTTGCCTATAGAATTTCCTTTGGCATTTCTAGTAGTGCAGGTCTGCTGTGAAAGGTTTTTTTTTTTCTCTAAAATGGGTTGATTTTACCTGTTTCTTGAAGGCTCATTTTATTTAATGCAGAATTCTGGGTTGATAGTTTTTGTCTTTCATTACTATAAATTGTACTTAAATAGTGCTTCCATTATTTATGGTCTCTATAACTTCAAAAGAGATATCTGCTGTTTTTGAATCTGTGTTTTTCTGAAAGTAATACATCTTTTTTTCTCTCTAGCTGATTTCAGGATTTTCCTTTAGTTTTGGTTTTGAAAAGTTTGGGTGTAGTTTTCTTAATATTTATCCTGCTTGGGATTTGTGAACTTTTTGAATCTGTACACTTGTGTTCTCACCAAATTTGGGAAATTTTTGGTTCAATTTTTTTTTTTACCTACTCATTTTCTTTTTTCTAGGACTGTAATTATACATGTGTGAGACTTTTGGAGATTGTTTCAGTGGTGTTTTGAGGCTCATATTTTTCATAAGAGCCTCACGCTTAATGCTCTTATTCAGACTTGTTAATTTTTATTTTTCCATCTTCAAGTTCACCGCCTCTTTCCTCTGCATTCTGCCATTATGTCTCTCTGATTATTTCCTTAATTATATTTTTCTGTTCTAAAGTGTGCATTTTTTGATAGATGGTTTCTATATCCTACTATGGTTTTCTGTCTTTTCATTGATTGTGAGGTTATTTTTCTTATTGTCATTGATCATAATTACAATAGGTGCTTTAAAATTCTTGTCTGTTAAATATGATATTTTGATTATTGAAGGTGTTGAAGAAAGTACGTCCTGGTTTAAGAACTCAGAAGGACTCTATTTAAAAAATGCCAAGAGAGGAAGCAGTAGTCAGCAATGTTAAGTAACATTGAGGGTAGTTAAAATAAGGACGTTTTTGATTTGAACATTAATAACTTTCTGATCATAACAAGGGTACTTTCAGGTGGTGGGATTAGAAGGGGGTTGTAGTTTATTGTAACGTGAGTGGCAGATGAAGTAACGGTGGGGAGTAAAGACACCTTGTTTGAGGAGCCTCACGGAGAATGAAAGGGGAGGAGGAGATAGAGGGGGAGGCTTGTTAAATGTGTGGAAAAGTGAAAAACAGCATGTCAGTAGAGGATGCATGTACGGACTCACGAGTAGGTAGGAAGGATGAGATCCAGAACACAGCAGAAAGGACACTTCCTCCATCTCGCCCAAACTGGAGAAAGGAATATGAGATTGTCAAAGGTTTGATACATAAGTGTATGGACTTTGGTTGTCATTTGTAAGACTTCATCTGCGGCAATTAATCATTTTGCCTCAACTCACTGAGGAAAATGTAGGTACCGAGAGTTGGGGACAGAGGGCTAGAGGTTGAGGACTGGGTCAGATTTGGAATAATTATGGGTTATTGTGGGATGTACGAGTGTGTGGCGGCTGCGAGTTAAGTGAGAGGAGCAGTTTTGTGTTCCTAAATGAGATTGGAAGGGCAAATTTTGGTACTAACAGTGTTAAACTAGGAGAAGACATTCTCGTGGCATTATTTTTACTGTGATGCAGGAGTAGAGACTGCACAGTTTCGCTTTTACTATTGTATGAGGGTTTGTAGTGGGGCAGTTAAGGAGTGGAGCTTGGAATCCAGGTTAGGAAGACAGCACTCCTTTTGGTGAATGAGAAGTTTCAGTGAGGGCGACAGTGAAGTTCACGTAAACTTTAGAAAGATAGAAGGAATGGGAATGTTAGGCTCTGGTCTGAAAGTGGGAGACTGGAAGTTAGGATACAGAAGTAGAGCAGTTTGAGGTCTGAGAATTAAGAGAGTTGATAAATTGGAGCACCGGGGAAGGATTTTGTTGTTACAAAGTCAAGAAACTATGGAACTAGGTGTCTGAATGAATCGTCCCGGTCGAAGTGGAAGTCTACCAAGAGAATTTGGAGGGGGACAGAACGCTGTGTCGCCTCTGGTGTTTACATAGTGTGGGGCATAAACGAGAGGATGGCGGGTGCTACTGTAGTAACGGGAGTTAGAGGCTGCCCTGCACTGTCCTCAAAGGAGAATAGTTTTTTTTTTTGTTTTGGTTTTTGCTTGTTTGTTTTCACGAAGGTGAAAACATAATGGTTTGTTGGTAGTGGGATCTCAAACTTTGGAATATTTTACGTGATGTTAATATTGAAAAATGAATATAATATTAAATCAGTGGTCTTATTTTAAATCAGATGCATTGTGGTAGATACTTAAATAGTACTTTTGTGTTTTATAACTTAATGCTTTGGTGGCGGCTGCTGAGCCAGGGAAAATGGTAAAAGACAGGTTGGGTTGGCAGAGGAGATCATACTTTTTTTAAAAAAAGATTTTATTTATTTATCATTAGAGGGGAAGGGAAGAAGAGAGGGCGAGAAATACCAGTGTATGGTTACCTCTTGTGTGTCCCCCTCTGGGAACTGGCCTGCAACCCAGGCATGTGCCCTGACTGGGAATCGAACCGCAATACTCTGGTCCACAGGCCCGTGCTCAACCCACTGAGCTACACCAGCCAGGGCCGGAAATCATACTTTTTAAAAAGGAGAAATTTGGTTTTACAGACATTAATATTTTTCCTTTTTTAAAAATTGCTGCAGACAGTTGTCATTCTTTTTAAGTGTTAGTAATGGGACAGCAGAGAGCAGAGAGGAAAAGTGTTTTAGATCTAAGTGTTTAGATCTAAGAACAGTGTTTTAGATCTTCATATCACTTATGGGAGTTTCTATTCTGAAAGATTAAAAGGCTTCTGTAAGTTTTACAAAGTCCTGTTACCTGGACCTGTGACGATGCATGACAGCAGGAGATTATTAGTTTAAATATGACTCTAACATCCAACATATTTATATTGTAGGGAATGTTGATAGTTGTCATAGTAACATTATACTCTGACCTCTCTGTAGTACATTAGTCCCTCTCTTTAATAACTTCTAATTTAGAGTAACTTAGTTTTCAGATGGATATCTAATGATTTCTAAAGCTTCAACCAGGTCAGATTTTGACTTGTATTGAACATTCCATGCTTCATGTTCTTGTGAAGTTGAAGATGTATAATTTTCATGTATCACAACTGTACCTTATGTGACTCTTTGCTCATTCACAAGGGAAGTCGAACAGGATTCGCTTTGGGCAGAAGTGTAATGTTCTGAAGGCCAAGTATCACCCCCTCCCCCACTCTTATCCGGGCCTCAGTGAGCACTGATCTGCTCCTAAACTCCCTTGACTATCCCCATATGGAACAAATTTGGTACTACCAGGCTCTTGAACTTTATTGTATGTGTGCTGTATTGAGAATAGGTTGTGCTCTCTTTTTCAAAATCTCAAAATGAGAAATGAATGGCATTGTCATCCTGTATTAAAAGAATTTCTGACACTAATAATTTAGGTGTGGAAAAGTTGGAGAAGGGCATTAAATACCGTGTGTGTTGCTGAAAGAATGATTACTGTGACCCTTTCAGAGGTGCAATAGATCAGGAAAGACTGTAAGCTTTGGTTCAGAAACACCTTTGGGTCACCTGGTCTCTTACTTGCTTGATGACTTTGTGCAGGCTTTTTCTTTCTGAACTTACACTTTGATGTATGAAAAGAGTAGTTTTTCTCCCAGAGGGTAGCAGTGAGTCATAAATGAGGCGTAGTGTGGTAAAATAAAAGCAATAGTAAATACTAGTTTCTGTCCTAAATGATGGCCTGTGATCTACCTCTCTTTCGTTAATCACAGGAGAAGAACGATGGAAAGCTCTAGTTTTATTATTTGAGATTCAGAATTTTAAAACAGTATTAATTCAGTCAAAACATTAAAAATGGTACCAGGTTTCTGTTTTCACCAGTTTGGTGGGATGTTTTCCGGTTCTAGTCATACAGTTGATAAAGAGGCCGGCCATTACCCTCCTTTCCCACCTCCGGTGCTGGTAGCTGCACCGTGTTAGTGACTTTGAGATTTCAGCTGGGCAGACAGGAGGCATCACCCAGTACCTAACAGGAGCCGTGATGAAGTGCAGGGGAGATCTCGCGAACTGGAAATCTCCAGAGGGTGGAATTAGCCACACCACAGGGAGGAACGAGTGAGAACCAATTTATAATGTTTACTAGGCCCATGCAGACTTGTTTATTCTATGTTAGCTGTGTAATAAAAGAGTATGTGATTTTATTTTATGTTTTAGAAGAAATTCTTTTTTCTGTTTTTCAGAAAAAACAAGGAGAGAAATGACAGCCAAAGGTTCTACAGGAGTGGAAATTCTATTGTCAACATTAGAGGTAAATCACTTATCAACTTTAATTGTGTAACTATTAGTATTAACTAGTACTGAAGGAAAAAATGTAAATGAAGTATAAAATTTTTGTACTGGGGGTAAAGCCAACAAATGGAATTTTGTTTTATGTTTCAATATAACATTTAGAATGGTGATACAAACTTTCTAATATGTATTAGGTAAACCTCTGAGTATATTACCCTATGATTATCATGATAAACATATACTTTTTAAAATTTTTACATGCTATTCTAATTGGTAATGGAAATAAAGCATTAGCTATAAATAAGTCTTTAGCTTACAATAAATGATTGGTATTGGAAATTCTTATTATGTCAGCTGGTATATATTTGTGATTTAATTTACTATATATATTGGTCGAATAACTATATTGTATTTGTAGAAATTAAATTTCTGTGTCCGTGTAAAAGTTGTGGGTGGGTCGCCAGGATATATTTAGAATAATTATATTTTATTCAGTGCAGTGTTAAGAACAGGGGGTGAGTAAGTACCATTGTATACCTCGCATTTACACAATATTATGTTTCAAAATGTATCTCAATAGAACTAGAAACAAAGAACAGGGAGTAAGTTCGTGTTTGTTGATGGGAATTACTTCCTATCAAAAATGAAATAAAGCTGTTGTTCTGACTTGATCTGTCAGTTTAAAGCAAATCTCAGTAAAAATACCAACAGTTTTGTTTCTGTAATTCAATGGGAAAATGATAAGCAAGAATAGGAAAGATGTTTCTGAAAAAGAAGAGAAATGAGAAAGTACCAACTCCACCAAATATCAGAGAACATTATAAAACTTCAGTAATTCAGATAATTTAGAAATTATGTGTGAGTGGTTGGTAGACATCAGTGTAATAGGATAAAAAAATCTAAAACTAAATGAAAATGCTTGTGGGAATTTAGTACTACTTAATGGGAGGACATTTCGGATCAAGGAAGGACAGACAGAATGATGACCTAGTAAGTGGTGCTGGGACAAATTGGTAGCCATGCAGAAAAGCATAATGTGGGATCCATCCTAAATCAAAATAAATTCCATATCAAGCAAATATTGAAGCATGGAAAGTAGAATCATAATTCTAGAGGAAGTAATGAGAGGAATTTATAAATAATTTTACAACAGGGAAAGCTTTTCTAAGTAAAACACAGGATCTGCAATAGAAAAGATTGATAATTTAACTACATTAACAAAAGTGCATGGGAAAAAACACCACAGACCCTTGGCAAACTGAGGAAAAGTAATTCAACTTGTATAGTTTTTTTTAATCCTCACCTGAGGACATGTCCATTGATTTTAGGGAGAGGGGAAGGAAGGGACAGAGAAAGGGAGAGGAACATAGATGTGAGAGAGAATCACTGATCAGTTGCCTCCTGTACATGCCCCCAGCCAGGGACCAAACCCCTGACCCAGGCACATGCCCTGAATAGGAATCGAATCCATGACCTTTCTATTTACGGGATGAGACTCTAACCAACTGAGCCACACCAGCGAGATCCAAATTGTATAATTTCTTTAACATATAAAGAACCTCCACAAATTAGTAAAGTGAAACTCATCCCAATATAAAAATATTAACAGGTTATGAACAGACAGTTCCCAGAAAAAGGAACACAAATTTCACTTAAGATTGAGCATCACTGTGGTTCCTTCCCCGCCACTCTCAGCCCCCTCCAGTTTGCTCATGTCACATATTACTGAAGTCACACGGCTCAAAGTTAATGATTGGTTTGGTCAAAAAGTCCATTTAGTTTTTTCCTTAAAATAAAAGACACATTTTTCACTTTTACCAATAACTTTATTGGTTTGGGTATTTTGAGTATATCAGCTGTCTCCCTTATGATGTAATGTTGACTGTTCTCAATTAATGTCTTGATTTCATCACCATCAACTTCAACTGGTCTAGCTGACTATGGAGCATGGTCCAGTGAGAGATCTACAGCATGAAACTTCACAAACTACTTTTGACATGTTCAGTCAGTCACAGCACCTTCTCCATACACTGCACAAATCTTTTTGTGTGTGTTTCAGTTGCATTTTTATCTTTCTTGAAATAATAAAGCATAATATATAGAAAATGTTGTATATTTTCTTCTGTCTATAATATTAACATGGCTACACAAAATTCCCCAATTTTGATAAGTTTTATTTTAAATGCATGCTGATATGACAGCTGTCACAATACAATCCAACAAAATTGTTTCTAATGAAGTTAAAGACAACTGAGCACTACTAGAGCCATCTCACAGACAAACCCAAACAAACTTTTTGGCCAAGCCAATACAGAAGGGCTGGGAAATGGGGTTTGGCTCTGTATCTAGGAAGAAGGTGAAATCAGTTTGTTGAACACAGCAGTATTGCTGCCACAATCCACTGTTTAAAAAAATTTTTTTGGTATTTCTTTCCATTGCTGTCTCTTTAATAAATATCCCTCTCATTCCAAATTACTCCTCAGTGAATCAATGGTCCAGTTAATACCTCCAATGCTAAGAACAAGGGTCTTTGGTTACGGATAGTCCTCCCTCTGGTGTGGATGGAACTTTTTGGTTCCATCTGTCTGTGAACTAAAATGCTGAAACAGACAACACTCATTTCCTTTTGGAAAAAGGAAGAGTAAGAGTCCCACACCAGTTACTGGGGCATAGTAATTCTCAGTTTCTTCTGTATGACATTTAAAATTCTCTGCTCTGGAGGTGAGGCAGTTGCTTGAATAGCCTATGCTTTTGTTTTCTGTGTAGTTTTTAAAATCCAGACATTGCTTATAATAAGAGAAATGTGATGAAGTACAATGTTCACCTTTTTTATTAGATTGGTTGTTCAGACTTTGGGAAACAGTTGCTCCTCTACATTGTTGGTAGAGTGTAAATTGCTCTGTGAAGAGGAATTTGGTGATATCTATCAAAATACTGATATTCTTTGACCCAGATATTTTAGTAATTTATCCCACATAAAGCTGTAATTAATCCTATGTAAATATATGTAGTTTTTGTTGCAATTTTTTTAATAGCAAAAGATTTTCAAGAGTATCATAAATAGTGGTTATGTAAACAATGGCTTAGCCGTGTAATGGAAGGTTTCCTGTAGTCCTTAAAAAGAATGAAAAAAGTGTCTACTAATATGTAAAAATGTCAATGTACGAAACAGTATCTGCATAGGGCAGTGTTTGGAGAAATAAACTGTGTATGCACATCTGTTTATAATACATGGATTTCTTTTATGTGTGCATGTCATGCTTAGGCAGGTATGTCGATCCAATAATACAGCTGCCTTCTGAGAAGGGAGCTAGGTGACTGGGTAGGCACATCTGTACATTGTAGTGCTTTTATATTTTGATTCATTTATTTGTATTGTCATTTGGGAGAAAACAATGAACTCGTATGACAAATTCCTCTTGTAATACTGTTGATACTCTGAAAGTAATAGCTGAGATTATTTGCAAAAGTTCTTAAGGGCAAGAAGAAGAAAAGATTGAAGTGATAAGTGAGAATAGTAGAAACTGAAACATTTGTTCTTAGAGAAATTAGAAAGGTCTCCTGTAAAATACAGACAGTTCCCAATAGGAAGAAAAAAGTTTGGGAATTACAAATTCACAGTGGTTAATAAAGCAAATCAACTCTTTATTTCAGAACACGAAAGATCTTCAAACCACACTTAATATCCTAAGCATTCTTGTTGAGCTGATGTCAGCCGGTAAGTTTTTTTTCTCCCCCTCAATTTCTGTTTGTAAATATGATCAACACTGCGTCATGTGTACTTTTTGAGGACTCCTAGGTGCTGTTACAGAGTCTGTTCTGAGTGTTGAGATTTGGAAGCTGGTGTGTCATACACTTGTTGCTTTGTGTTTGTTGTCTTCCAGTGCTTCTCAAACCACTCTTGAAGCCTTGGACATGGAGTTTGGGCATTGCTTGTATTTACTCTCTGTACTGTTTTCTAACTAAAATAAATGAAATAAAACAAAATTTGATTTTATGGTGTTTGATTTTGGAAGTCATTACTTAAAATATTTCTTGAATGCTGATAAGTTGTATTTGATATGCTGTGGGAAAATTTGCTGTTTAAGCAAATTAAACAAAATTTTTTTTAGGTGGAGGTCGAAGAGCTAGTTTCTTAGTTGCCAGAGGTGGTTCACAAATCTTGTTACAGTTACTAATGAATGCCAGCAAAGACTGTCCCCTGCACGAGGAGTTAATGGTGCAGATTCATTCTATTCTTGCAAAGATTGGACCGAAAGGTAAGGGTTTCACTTGCATGATTATCAAATCTGGAAGCATCTTTGTGACATGGATTCTCTGTGCTTGAAACTCGTCAATTTTTAAATCTAAAATGCTAGGCTTTTTCTTGGCTTTAGTCATGGAGTGCTTTCTGAAGTCAGTTAGTGACCTTCAAGAACTGAGGGTCTTAAATTCATGAGGAATTCCATTGCATGTGGTGGAAAGAAGAAGAAATTTAGGTTAGAGTCACACCAGTGTGTCTTGGTGTTTGCGTGTGCCTGCATGCGTATGTGTGTAAAGGATGCACACAACATGGACATGGTTGAGGCTAGAAGAAGGATGAGTAAATGGGAACAGTGAACGTGGAGGTAAAACGTGTTTGCTTCTCACTAATGGCCACTATGGTACTGCATGGTCTCAATGCCCAGAAGACTTACAATCTAGTTAAGACCAAAAGAGACATAAAAAAGTTTAAGATGGTTTATTACAGTAGTAAGGCATGTAAAACGTTAAAAAATAAAAAAGGAGAAAGCAAAATATGAAGCAAAGGAAGAAGCCAATTTGGGTTAGGTTAACAGAAAAAGGAATCCTTTGAATAGAGTGTCATTATCTATGATTCCCTGAACTCCCAATAGTGACTGTTAAGAGTTCTGCTATTGCCTTGTGGCATACATATGGGTTTTAAACTTTGAAGTATTTGGTCAAATGCTTATTCTAAAAAGTATGTATGTACGTTTGTATGCATATATATGTATATAGCATGGATATCATATGTGTTGTATAAATGTTTATTACTTCTAATAGTTGTTGTCTTAAAATATCCTTGAAGATAACTTCAATTTTCAAGGTATCTTAGGGGGCTTTAAGACTTATTGAACATATATTCAGTTTATTCAAGAAATATGCTGTTAGCTGTTTAACTCATATTTGAGTTTTACGGGCTTCTAAGATTTTTGCTGAAAATGAAAAGCAAGAGAAAACCTCATTTATTGGTGAACATTATCATAGCACACTTTCTTCTCTGTTTAGAACCAGATTATCTTTCTTTTTCTTTTCTTGAAGTTAAATCAAGACATGGATGTATTTATATTTGCAGTTTTTAAATATCTCCTTTAAGTTATAGCTCATTTATTTTATTTTCCTTTACACTTTTCAGTTTGTGCTGTTTCTGTTATTATTTGTCCCAGGTTTGCATTTTTGTCATTTCGGGACACTGTGCAGTCATGTCTCCAGTGATGCTGGGTTCTTTTTCTTGTGAGAGGAGAGTAGTTTTCCTGCAGGAACATTGAGTACATTTTCTCCTAAAATTCCTGTTGTTGATAAGATAACTCTGCTTGCTAGTCCTGCTTTCTTGTTTGGTTTAAAACCTTAACATTCTTAAAGTCCTGTGATCCAGATTGTTTTTAGTGTTTTAAACACTTTGTGAGAATAAAAAAACAAGACCTTCTCTTCTTTCCTATATTAAAAATCAGATCCCGTTAGTAACTTATTTGGTAATATTTGTTAGATTATTTTCTACACAAGCTGTTGATTTTTGATTGATTTAAGTCTTAAAAGAATTCTGTTAATATTGAGTAAGTACTGTTGGTACTGGGCTCGGAGATTCTCAACCATGTGTCAGGGTCCCTGTGAATGTGCTGAAGTGACAGACCAGACACACTGTGGTCCTTTTGTGCGAGTCTGTCCCGCTGTTCGGACCTGTATCCCCTGCCTCTGTGCCCTTACCTGCTGCTCAGCACTTTCTTTGAAGCCACGTTTCAAAAGTATAAGGAGTATTTTTAAAATCATATAAGAAAATGATTATAATCTTAAGTATTTCAGGTCAGTTTTACATTTAGTAATAGGTATTCATAATATATAAGTTTTTCAAAATCTCATTGCTTTATGACTTTTTCATTTCATCCAAAGTTACATATGAGTAAATTATGTTCTTTTTTTTTAAAACAGACAAAAAATTTGGAGTGAAAGCTAGAATTAATGGAGTTCTGAATATAACCCTGAATTTGGTCAAACAGAATTTGCAGAATCATCGCTTGGTTTTGCCTTGTCTTCAGCTTTTACGAGTATATTCTGCAAACTGTGAGTATTTCAGAGCAGTTTTTAGGTAACTTCGGTCTTTTGAAGTTACAGAAAAGGAAAATTTAACCTGTAAATCTCTAAAATTTTGGACAAAGTAAGAGAATATTTAATATGGATTTTTGTAATGCCTAACCTCACTACCACAAAACTGATGTGGGGTGAGAAGGTCAATTGGCAGCTTGGAAGGAACTGGAGAGCGTGATGCTGAGTGAAATAAGCCAGGCGGTGAAAGACAAATACCGTATGATCTCACCTGTATGTGGAACCTGATCAACAAAACAAACAAGCAAAATAGAACCAGAGACATGGAAATAAAGAACAAACTGATATTAACCAAAGGGAAGCAGGGAGGGGGAGAATGAGGGAAAAAAGGAAATGGTCATCAAGAAACATGTATAAAGGACCCATGGACAAAGCCAAAGAGGGTAGGTTCTAGGGTGGGAGGCAGGGATGGGTGGGGTGGGTGGGGTGGGGGGGGCGTGGTGAGGTGAAAATGGAGACAACTATACTTGAACAACAGCAACAACAACAAAAAAGAAGGTGAATTGACAGAGTGTTGAGAATTGTCATTAAGGCTGTAGTGAGGGGGAGAGCAGGCAGCTCATGGGAACGATGTGGAAGAATGTGAGGGCATCGGCAGCTGCAAAAACTGCTGTTCCTGTTTGGATTTTCATCGATGAGAGGAAAGCTGAGGAGGAAGGCATGTGGCCGCATGGTCACCTGGAGCTAATTATCTTCAGCAAGCAGTAGGGAAGTAGCAGAACAGCAAATAAATATACAGGAGTCCCCGAGGCAGCTGGAAAGAAAAGGAAGCTGGAAAGAAAAGGAATTAGGAGAGACAGCTTCAGATGAAGTGCCCCTCACACACACACGCACACACACACGCACACACACACGCACGCACGCACACTCACACACACACTCACACTCACACTCTCTCTCTCTGTTTCTCATTCATATTAGTTCCCAAACCCATAAGGTGTTGATTTTCTTTCTATTTCCTGATTGTGGAATTGGGGTGGTTAACAAAACACCTGTGATTGAAATTGTAGAGTACATGTTATTATAGAATATCACTGCAAAATAATGAAAGAGGTAGATAATGCCTGTACACATGTACATGTGTATATTTATTTTCTATGTCTGTACCTTGATAGTATGGCTACAGGTGTGCTCAGAGGAAAGTAGCTTTGAATATGTAAATAACACTTCTATAATTAAAAAGCATATAAATAAATGAATGAATGGGATATCTAACCAGTGAAATTAAGAACAGAGCAATAAATGGAAAGAAGGGAAATGAAATAGTAAAGAAAAAAACCTTAGAAAATAAAAAAAATGGCTGATCTAAAAAAAAACAATAAAGCATTGGATTAGAAATAAAACAGATTAACCACTGAACACCCCAGTTAAGGGAGAAGGAAGACAGCACTGACAGAATTCGAAGGAGTGACAGGTACTAAACACATACGGAGGAGAATACAAACACTGTACAAAACTTTCAGAGCAACATTTTTGGTGGCATTTTACTGAATTAACCACTAGAAGGCTAATAAGTGGTTTATAACTTTTATAGTATTTGTTCAGAGCTTAAAATATTGTGCACAATTTTCTGGTTAGGTAATTGCATCTTCTGTGAAACTTTTTTTCTACTACAGTGCAGCTGTTGAATTAAGGTCACTTTTACCTGTCAGCTAGCACCCTGCCTCCTAATGGTCTCTCTCAAATCTCTCTTCCCCAGAGTGCTGTGAGATCTGACCTGTGATTAAAATGCAGATCTTGTTTTAAGACATAATTCCACACATTATCAAAGTGTATGTTTTATCCATTTATTATCATTGTTGGTGTCATTTCACATACAGTGTTTTTGCTCTGTCATTTTCCAGTAAATGTTTGTTTCTTTCGGGCAATTCCCTATAGTTGGAAGAATGAACAGCTTTTAGGGTCCTTTATAATTGGCTTAACTTCTTTTCCCAACTATTCTTCCCACTGGCATGTCTCTGTTTGATACTCTCTGTTTAACTGCTCACACCCATGGTGTTGGTTCACTACCGTTCCATCGTCCGCATTCGCATCCCCCAAGGTTCCCCAGAGCCACGCCCGCCCCCCACTGCAGCCCTGGGCCCAGCCAGGCCCTCCTCCTCCTCAGTAGAGACAGAGCCCAGCCGTCAGGGTCTCCAGCAGTGCCTTCTGTCTCACTGTGGACTGGGGCCTCCTCACTGTTGTCACCTAAAAATGCCTGACAACTCTTAATCTGTTAAAAAAGTAAGTCGGTGTTTATTGGTTCACTGTTTCTGTCATTCTCCTCTGCACTGTTCTCCGAGAGCAGACACTGCTGATTTTTGTCTCCCATTCCCCATGCCTGGTATTTAGTCAAGTTCACTCCAGTTATTGAAGAAACAAATGAAGTAACTTAAAAGTATTTGTTTTTAGTAGTAACATTTTATTGTTTTATATAACTTCTTTGAGAATTTCTTACAACTTCCCCTAAAGATAAAAGCAAAAAAAATATTTTAAGTGATCCGTTAAAGTGGACTTTATGAGGGACATGAGTTACATTTATTAAACACTTAGTATAAGTTTTTGATTATGTTGCACCAAGTATACACATTGCTACTTCCTGAGATTTTTAAATGATTAAATATTTTTTCTCCCCCTTCTAGCTGTGAATTCAGTATTCTTAGGGAAAAATGGAGTTGTGGAACTGATGTTTAAAATCATTGGGCCATTTAGTAAGAAGAATTCGGGTCTTATGAAGTGAGTAAATGTTTCGAGTATAAACAGAGTTTTCTTTGATTTTTCTGGGTCTCCTCATCCTGACCTGTGCAAGGAACAGTAAATTGTACGGTGGGTTCTTTCTTAGTTCTTCAACAGTGATTTTATTATGATAAAGATTTTCTTCAGTATGAAGTTTAACCTTTGAAAGTATATGAAAATTAGAAAACTTTAAATCATTGAATATAGTGTTACAGAAATTTAGATTTTGATCATTCCTAGATACTATAAGAGGAAAAAAGATCATTTGTAGAGTGTCATTCATTCAGAAACATTTATTGAATGCCTACTATATTTCCTACCAATTTTGCAATCTTCAGTGACTACTTCCTTCATTCTCACAGTTATTTGAACATATTTTTAATTTATACATTTTTTGCCAAAATAATGTTACTCTTTTTTCTTATTTTGAAAACATTTGTAGGTCTTTCAACCTCAGAAAATAAAAGCAGTCTCCAGTTTCTTGGTTATATTTAGTTTTTTTTAAAGCTATGTTACAGCCATGTTAATATAGGTATATTAAGCTATATAAGCTATTTATATTCTCTAAAAAATTTTATGTGGAACTTTTCAAATATACATAGAGTTTACATTATAGTGAACCAAGTAATTATCTTGAGTAGTTATATTAATTGCTTATTATAGATACTTAACACCATTCTGTCATTTTTCATTTCTTTCCTTCGATGCTTTTTAAAATTTTTGTTGGGTATTTTTAAGCAAATTCTAGATGTCATGTATCTATATGTGTGTGTGTGTGTGTGTATAAAAATTCATGTGTGTGTGTATATGTACAAAAATTCATATGTATAAATGAATTTCTGTAAGCACATCTCAGATATTTTCTAATTTTCCCCCTAAGTACTTTAGTATATCTCAACTAAATAGGTACTTAAAAAAATGACCACTGTACTATAACTATACTCAAAAAATTATTAAGTCCTTAATATAATCTAAAATCCCGTCTGTGTCCAGTTTTCTCCAGGTGTCACGGAATGGCCGTGTACACTGTATGTTCGAATGGGGACCCAGACGAGGTTCACACTTTATTCCAAACCTACACAAACATGGAAAGAACTGAATAAGAAACCTGGTACACCTGTCACTCAGTTTCAGCAATGATCTGCATTCTGTCATTTTTATTTCATCTTTCCTCGTTCTACACACCGTTTTTTTCTGGGGTATTTTAAAACAAATGCCCATTGCATTTGTTCTGTTAATTTTTTGTGTTTGATTAATACCAGACACAGAGATTTTTACTTTTAGTGTTACCACAATGTAATTTCTTTGCCCAACAAAATAATAATTCCTTAATATCATCTAATATTTTTGGATTATTTAAAAAGCATATATATTTTTTTGCAGTGGCTTGTTCAGATCAGGATTCAAATAAAGTGTATAAATTCTATTTGAGTCTGAGTAGTGTGTCTTACAGTCTTTTAAAATCAGTAACAGTCCCCCATTTTCTTGGTTCTGTTTTGTTATTTGTTAAAGGACCTGAGGGCTGTTTTGTAGAAATGTCCTAACATTGTGGATTCAGATGACTGTATCCTGGGGTCATTTAAACATGTAGGTATATCCCTCAGATTTTCTGTAGACTGATGACAGAGCCAAGAGGCTTGATTAGATTTGAGTTCTTTTCATTCTGGTCGGAATTGTTTCAGAGGTGGTGGTAGAGACTCTGTTTTGCATCACTTAACATGATTGAGTTGATGGGGTCCCCCCCTTTTTACCTAATAATTCAGTAATATTTCATGACATTGCCTAGATCGTTTTTTTCTTTAGGGTTTGGAAGACAGTGACTTTTACAATTTTCTCATTTTTCCACTTTTATCAGCTATGATTCTTTTATAAGGAAGAACTTGTCCGCATTATTTAGTTAAATTCTGTAAACAAGATTCAGAACATTTTCAGTCTTTTTACCCTTTCTTAATAAAGGTCAAGTATTTTAGCTTGTATCCTTTTGAAAATGGGAACTAACTTGCACATATAATTATTTATTAAGTATTATTTGGTGGGATGACTTAACATATTTATGCAAAAATCATGCATAATCCTAGAGCATCTGACGAAATGTAACAAGATAAAGTCATTGTATCACGGGTAGTGAAACATACTTACAGAATTGGTTAGTGTAGTGAGTGGGCTCTGGAGACAGGCAGCATGGGTTTGCATGTTGCTCTGTTCCTTACTGGCTCCATGATATGAAGTAAGTTATGTAACTTATTATGGCCCAGGTTCCTGGCTGTAAAATGGTAGTAGTACCACCTACATCATCAGGTTGCTGTCAGTATTTAATGAGATGATGCCTGTAATTAGCACAATACTTATATTAATGCGGTATAATTAATTCAGATAGGTAATGTAGTAATGTGCATGCAAATAAATCCTAGTTAATACTAAAATACATTCCTTATTTTTAATTTATATACCATTTTTCTCCCTTGATCTTTAAAGTACTTTATAGTTTATCTTTTAGGTAATGGTTCTGATCTTCTACTTTAGATCTACATTGTTCTATTTTAACCAATTTACCAAATGTAATATAAAATGTCCCTAGTAGAAGCATTTCACAAATAATCTTTATAATATACAACATGGAATATGTCCAAAACCATGTACAAACCTGTGGATCTAAACTTCTGAGAAAGGAATATTGTTACATAGATTATTCTTTAATTCTTTTTTATTTATATTTTAAAAAGGAAAACAAATTTTAAAATTTATTTTTACTTAAAAAAAAATCGGCCCTGGCTGTGTGGTTCAGTGGTTTGAGTGCCAGGCTGCAGACCAAAGGGTTGCTGGTTTGATTCCCAGTCAGGGCCCATGCCTGGGTTGCAGGCCTGGTCCCCAGTAGGGGACGTGTGAGAGACAAACACACATTGATGTTTCTCTTCCTCCTTTCCTTCCACTCTCGCTAAAAATAAATAAATAAAATCTTTAAAAAGAATCATTCATTGACCAAATGTTCATATCTTGATTTCTTTATCACCTTAGGGCCTCCCCCTTTAATTTAGAAAGTTTTGATATCTGCAGTTTGTATCAAGAGTTCTTCTTCCTCTTAAGCAATGCTCTAAATTTTATGGGAGAAGATTGAGGGATATTATTTATGTTTGAAGGGTCGTGCTTCCCTTTAGGATTTCCGTTCCTTCCCAATTTTATGTTTTGGATTTAAACACTATTAATCTAGAAGGAAGCAACTCTGGAAGTTGTTGTAACTCTGTCTTTTTGAGTTACAACAGGTTTGGAAATTATTGTAAGCACAGACCCCTACTTTATGGAGCTTCTGAGTACCTGGGGCTTAAGCTTTTCTTCTTCCACTGCTCCTACATGGATAAGCCACAGGCTGCTTTCTAAGCCACTGTTGGTTGTATGATTGTGTGTGACACATGAATATTGGAAAAATACATGAGGAAGTATAAAATATTGGTACTGAGAAGTTCTAATCAATTAACATAATACAAACTATACATTTCAAACATTTGTTTGTAATTTTTATATTATAAATTCCTCCTGGCTTACACGTGTTGTAGAATTTCAGAAATTCCTTTGTACTGAACTTTTTAAAAATACCATTTAAGTAACATTGGTGAAAGTATCAAGAGAACTTTGCACCAAACTTCATATATTTTTTTAGTCTAGTGGAGCTATGGAACAAGCATGGAGTCAAAAAGAACCGGCTTTGGAGTTAGAAAGAACTGGGTTTGTGTTCTAGTTGTCAGTCTTGAAGAATAAACATCAAGGATTAGAAACTCAGAAGCACTTTGATTTGTTTCAGATGTTTTACAAACAACTGCTAGCAGGGAGAAAGACTGTTTCTGAAAGTACTGTGTGATTTTTGTAATTTTGAATACAGACTTAGCCGTAGACGGGGAAAATCTATGTTGCAAGCGACTGCATCAGTTTCATAGGGCTGTTATGATAAAGAACCTAGTACAAATTAGGTGGCTTAAGATAACAGAAATGTATTTTCTCACAGTTCTGGAAGCTGGAAGTCCAACATCAACTAGTCAGCACTGCCAGTGGTCCTTCTAAGACCTGAATGGGATAACCCTTCCTTGTGTCTTCCTAGCTTTTGGTGGGTTGCTGGTGATCTTTGCGGTTCCTTAGCTTGCAGCTGCAGCATTTCAGTCCCTGCTTTTGTCATTACATGGGTTCTCTCCTGGTGTGTTTGTCTTTAAATAGTCTTTCCTCTTCTTATAAGGGTACCAGTCATTACCGATTAAGAGCCGCTTACTCCATTATGATCTCATCTTAATTAATTACATCTGTAGCAACCCTGTTTCAAGTAAAGTTCCATCTTCGGGACTGGGGGCTAGGACGTCAGCACGTTTGGGAGGAGACTGATGTTTCTGGTTTCAGCATTTTCTTTCTCAACAGAGAAATTCAACCAGAGAAATTTACTTTTCATGTCACTTAGTTTCTGTGTTATTCTAGGCAAATTATACTCTGAAGTCTTTTAGTTTCCTTATTTATAAAGTGTGCTAGTTCTATGGACCTGAGCTGTTTTAAGAATTAAACTATTTCTGAGGCACCTATAATAGTTTCTGGCATTTATCAGTTCTTGCTGAACAAGTGTTTTTCATTTTATTTTTTATAAATTGCTGTTTCTCTCGGAAGATCCCTTTAGTTCTGTGTTTAATGTTGATCAATTTAAAAATGATACATACAATCCTATGTACATTTTATTGCATAATTATACGATTATGAAATGTTTCTTAATGTTCCAGTGCTATAAAAACAGCATATAATTTTCATTTACTTTTAACTCATTATTCCTAAAACTTCACATTGTTTTTAAAGAAGTTACAGGCACGAATTTATAATATTTTTAAAAGCATATACTATTGTTTTTATTTTGCAAATGCTATAAGTAGAGGTTGATATGCTTGCTCTATTTATGTCAGTAAACAGAAGTGCAGCTGCTCACTTGCTCAGGAGCAGCGTGTCTGTGCCGCGGGAATGTTTAAAAGGTTCGCTGCCTGACTGTTGAGTCGGGGGCACCGCCCTCTTTTCCCTTCGGCTGTCAAATAAAAAAACCCCAACAACAGCTAACACAACAGTCGCTGTCCAGTGTGGATGAATCAAAATTATACCTATTTTTTTGTCAGATTGGCAAAAAGTACAGTGTGCTACAATATTAGTTTACGTGTGTCATGAGATGAACGAGGTTGGAAATCGCTGCTCTAGAGGATGGCGGTGATGGGCGTTTATCATCAGTGAACAGTGAACACTGCCTCAGTGGCTGCTCCCGCACCATTTCCGTCTCTGCCCCCGCTGTCACGTGGTTCTCTCTGCGTGCTTGTGATTATGGTGTCAGGTGTCGCTGGAACCAGTGTCCATCTTCAGTCCTCTGATTGACTTCTTTACCTGTGCTCATGTCTGGTCAGGCTGTGTCTCCTGTACCACTGAAATATGCAGCTTTGTTTCTTAATTTCTTGGGTAGCTTTTTCACACGTGTGTACATTTTATTACATTATCTAAATTGTAAAATTATCTGTGAAAGAGATAAATTTGTTCTCTAACTTTATAGCCACGAGGAACCTACTTTTGTGGGTATCTAGTAGGCATTCAACAAATGCTTAATGATGAGTGAAATGCTTAAGTTTAACAATGTACATGTTTTATGCAAATTAATTAAAATTGTTGAAATCTTACTAAGAAGTACTGTAGTATGTGTGCAGCCTTATATTCTTAGTTGCTGAAATTAAGTGCCATTTTTTCAGTAAGTCAACTTTTTTTGTAAAAAAAAAACTATTTGAGTTATAGGTTCTCCATAGTGATATTTATATGCACTTTTAAAGCAGATTAATGGCAGTTGATTTCACTGTATGTAACTGAGTGTTTATGTTCAAAGAAAATGTAAGTATCTTCAATTTGGGGAGCTATTTCTTGATCCTCTAATGGGCACATAAGTTTTTGAGATACTAATTAGGTTCATTATTCTCATTGGTGCCTTATAACTGAAAAATGTTAAGGGCTCCAACTACCTCTCCCTAAACCTCCTAGTTCCAATATTTTGCATTTATTATCACCTTAAATATTAGGATTATTGCTTGATAAAGCTAAAATACTTTACAACCAGATAGCTACAAGGGTCTGTAGAATTTCCTAGTTATGAACTTTATTTGTGTGGAACTTGTTTTTAATTTCTTTGTGAGTCTTAATAACGTCCCTGTGTGAACTCTGTCAGGGTCAGACACTGGTACGGTTACTGGTTTTAGTCCTCTGACCTCTGACGTAAAGATGTAGATGTTGTTATTTTTTTTTCTTTAAAAAAATTTTGGGTGCTTTTCTGTTGCTATTTCAGTTTTCCTGTACATTCAGGTCTAACCTGAAGGGAGAGATGTGTACAGGGAAGCACCACATGCAATGGACTATAACAGGGATGACTTTTGGAATAGATAATAATTACTAACCTGAAAAGATTGTATGAATTTACTATTGTAGATTAATTTTACTAGTTTTGTTGTTGTTTGTGTTTTCTCATGTTGACAGGGTTGCTTTAGACACTCTTGCTGCATTGCTAAAATCAAGTAAGTTTTTAAATACTAGAAATACTAGATACTGTATTTTCAAGTATTTTATCTACATTGTTAAACTGGAAATATAGATTTAGTCTATAGTTATAAACCTGGTTTATAATAATTTAATGTCAAAATTGAGTAATAACTAATGTCGTTTATGTTTATTGATCTACAACTTATTCAAAATATTAGTTTCTTTTTCTATGTTATGACTATACAGATATAAGGCCCTGTTAGTAGGGGAAAGTAATATGTAAATGTTATGTATTTATTTAAAAAACTGAAGTTAACATAGCATTGAAAATGTTTACTGTGAAGACTATCTTGAATAATCACTCTATGTATAATACACATGATTTTAATTTAGAACCCTCTTATTAGAAATTTTACTTCTACCATAAATTCAAATTTATAACATTAAAATGGCTACTAATGTAAATTTATAGTTTACTAAGTTAATTGACAAACTAAAGCACTATCTTCAAAATTGAAGCATTGGAATAAATGGGTTGTATTATGATATGATACCTTTGAAGAGTAATCATAGTCATCTACATTTCATGTTTTTTTTTCACCAAGATATTCAGTAACTCTACTTTAAATACGTTTCATTAGCACCCCTATTTTCATTGGTTGATTAACATTTATTTAACCACAATAACATTTTAGTCTTTAAGATCTGTATTGTTGGCTTTCAGTTTTATTTTTCCCCCAAATTGTCTTTCTAGGGTAGAACAACATTTCCTTAAGTTTGAAGAACCAGAACTGTTTATTTGAATAGTAACAAATGACTAGTTGGTAAATCTGATATTTGGTAATGATTTATTAAATTTTAAAAAATCACTTTAGGTATTAGTATTCTATACTAGAGGCCTATTTTTAAATGCACTAGGGTGTTTTGGAGCATTTTCTTGGAGGGAAAGGGATAGACATTTACTTTAAAATGAGAATTAAACTACTGGAATAATCCCAAGAGAGTATAAAGTATGTATACAAAGTGCAGAAAGTGCAGAGTGGAGATACACAGTGCAGCTTCATCGGTTGGATGCTGCAGCGTAAAGGGAAACCCAAGTTGGATTTCAGGTTGTAACTGGAAAGGGAAGAAGAGACACAGGCTGAGTGTAAGCTGGGCGTCCTGGTCACATGAGTAGAACACCCTTCAGTAAACTGTACTAATTGTGCTCAGTTGCAGGTGGCTCTGTTCACTTCTCTTTAGGGTCACTTGGCACCTGTGTTTGAGTTATGGGCAAGTTTTTTTAATTTGAACTTTAATAAAAAGTTTCAGTATTCCTTATAAATTTAACTTAGGCTATTGAGAATTACGGTAGAGACAGCGTTTGTAACAGGAGTTACATTGAGCATGTTTTTTTAAGAAAGATATTCATAGCTAGTAAGCTAAAGGCTTATATATTCTAACTGGTATAAACAAAGTATGTATATTCATTTAAAATACATGAAACTATTGCCAGCCAAAACTATGGAACTGTATTGTAAATAGGCACAGCCTTAGCCAAACTAGCTTTGCTAGGCACTGTTAATAGAGGTTTGGAAACATTTACATAGGACCCCACCCCTTCCCTACCCTGGAAGTTTCTTCTAGCTCTCTAATGTACAAGCACGCTTTCTGAGAGGGCATTAATTACGTTGATTTCACTGTCTTAAATTTTATGTTTTAGATATGTATTAGCACAGTTGGAAACTGGTATTTCTTTGAGGCAATTAAAAGTAGCAGGACTTGACTGTTGCATTGTCTTAATGTCCATGGGGTCATTTCATAGGTAAACTTAGACTAGGAAGGGACTGATATTTCTCCGTAACTGAACCACCTCAGATGGGTTGGTGGTCCACTTTATTTTGTACTCTTATAACAGGTCGACCCAGTGATGCTTGGTGGCTTCAGATGTTGCATTAGGATTCTCTTGCTGACAGCTTAATTAAATGTACCTATTTGGTTAATAATCTTAAATATTAGCAGTTAAAAATAATAAAATAAGTCAAATTAGTGGATTTCTGTTAATTCTATCTCCCCAAAATTGACCATTTTCAAAAATCCCTTTAATATAGTTTCACTACATTAAAAAATAAGGATTGGAAATCACCATCTTCTAATTATATAATGCTTCTTACATTTATTTGCTAAATAAGTTCTGTAAGTATTTTAACTAAGAATTATGGCATGGATATTTATGTAATTATAGAGGTAATTAAAGAATTAATTTTAATGGAAACACTAAGTTTGTAATAGGACCTATAATCCAATCTAGTTAATCTCAGTGGAAACACAAAGTTTGTAATAGAGGTTACAATAATGGTAATGGTTTTTAACAAAATTCTATTCACAGATCGTAAGTTAAAGGCTTCTACATTCCATTTATTGTAATCAAAGTCAGTACATTCATAAGTTTAAAAGACATGAAAAGTTTTGTTCATATTAACATTTAAAAGAGGTAGCCCTAATTGCATTAAATATATTCTGTTTTTATTAACCAGAAAACAATATATGGGCAGGTTTCTGTAAAATACTATAATTTATCTTCTGGAATTTAGTTTGTTAGATTAAAAATATTTAAATATATGGTTGCCATTTTTTGATAAAGTTCTTTTAAGAGTTTATTACAATATTGTGGTTATATTTTCAATTTGTTTATTCTACCACTTCTCCTTTCACTTAAAAAATATTCTTTCTCAATTTTCTTTTGTTAAAGAAACAAATGCCAGGAGAGCTGTAGACAGAGGATATGTCCAAGTGCTTTTAACAATTTATGTAGATTGGCACCGCCATGATAGTCGGCACAGGAACATGCTCATTCGGAAAGGCATTTTACAGAGTTTAAAAAACGTAACAAACATCAAGCTGGGAAGAAAAGCCTTTATTGATGCCAATGGGATGAAAATTCTCTATAACACTTCGCAAGTGAGTTTTTTCCTGTTACTGTGATCATGTATTAATAATATTCAGTTCTTAAGAAAACTTAGTATTTCTAAAAATACTCCAAAGGTATGATAAATATATTTTTTAAAACATTGAAAACCAAAAGGCATAATCATTTCTCACATGTGACCACAGACTGAGTTGGAGAAAGTGCTTAAGTGCATATGTCTGCAGTGTGAAATTTTTCCACACAGGTAAGAGGAAGATACATAAATCTATCCACTGGGCAGGAAGGGATTCCATGTAGCCATGTTTTCTAAGATGCACAGTTGGCTATTTGCGTGTTTCCCTCATAAGGTGTATTTGGATGTTTTACAGTTGGTAATGCAATTCTGTTGCTTGTGAGTGTTCTTTCTTCTGCATAGAGCATTTTTCCTGTTTTCTTTATTATTACTTACAGAGCATTTTAAAATGGAGAGGGGACAAAAGTGAAACCTGGAGTTAGGGTTCCTAGTTCTGTCTGCTATTGTAACCTGCCTTCCTGATGATATCTTCAGTGAGATTTGTTGCAGCGTCTGTAGAAGAGTGTCAGCTCTGGGAAATGGGCTGTGCAGTGTGGTCCTTTGTTTTCAGTAGGCTGTCGTTACTAGAAAGAAAACTGTCCTTGAAAATTCCAGCCAGGTATAATTGTGCCACCTGGCTTATACATGACTAATAATCTCTCTCTGCATGAGAGTAAAGATATAAGAGCACACATTTTACGTTTACCCTTAGCTTCATTTTTCTTATCAGTCATGAACACTTGTTTTTATTATTCCTACTATAGGCAGTGGTGGATATTTGATATGTGAGGAAGAGTTGGGTAACTTTGGTTTATGCCACTTAACATTTCTGAGCTTTAATTTCACATCCGTTTTGACAGACTAGATGTGAAGATTTGTACTGAAAAATTTACAGGATGTCAGAGCGCCATCTAAGTGTCCATTGTCTATGATGATAATGTGTTATGATATAGTTTGAAATGATATAGTTTGATATCCCTTATGTATTAGTCCTTCACAAGATTAATTGGATACCAGGACAGCAAATTAAACTCTTAAAACTTAAAACCGTGTATTTAGACTGTTTTTTATAATTGAACAGCCAACTTATTAGAGGTGCTATTGATGATAACTGATAAAATTCTGAGAAAAGTTCAGCCAAATGCATATTCCTTCTTGTTTCCTTTTTATTATCTTACTATCTTTCTCCCTTACTTTTGAAAAACTTTGTGTGCTAGACTTGCTAAATACACCTAAGTCCCTCACAGATATTACTTAATACTTTGGTGACTTTTGGTATCAAAGATGGTATTGATTTCTGCTTAGTTAAAATATTTAAGGAAAAGTTCTACTAAATTTGCCATATGAGTAGTTAAAGCTGCTTTATAATCATATTATGTTAAAATATCGTTTTTGTGACATTTGTCTCTTGAAAATCATTAATGTATTACTTTCTGAAGTAATGTAAATTTGGTTGTTATTTACTAAAGGCAAATTATTTGTTTATTTTCTTTTCCTATAAAACAGGAATGTTTGGCAGTCAGGACGCTTGATCCTCTTGTCAACACCTCCAGTCTGATAATGAGGAAGTGTTTCCCTAAAAATCGCCTTCCACTCCCAACGATTAAAAGTTGTTTCCATTTCCAGTTGCCTATTATTCCTGTGGCTGGACCTGTGGCTCAGCTCTACAGCTTACCCCCTGAAGGTAGGACCCCGGACGGACTGCCGGCTCTTAGTGGTTTTTGGGATTGTCTGGCGCTGTTGACTGTTTTCTTTGTGTGTGTGTCCTTAATGAACACAGTAAACTTTCATGTTATATTTTAGTTAATAAATACTTTTTTAAATATAAGAAATTGGGGGCTAGTAATTAAGGGATGTAGTGTGGGATTTGTTACAAAAATGTGAGTGTGCACTGTGGAAAAAATGTAAGCATCACATAGGAACATCACTTGATAGTTTATATGAAGTTTCAGAGTAGAAGAGTGTAGACAGTAGATGTTTGGGTAATTATATCTGAGCTGACATTTTTAGCTTTTTCATGAGCTTCAGTTTTTTAAAGTTGAAAATACCTCTAATCAGCAGAAACAAACCCAACCTAATCACCAAGAATGTTGTGCTTAACATAAGAAATTATCAGAAGTTGGCTGTTTGCCACTTTCCATATAATAGTGTCGGTACGTAGGAAAGGAAGTAAAAGTTTAAGCTTTTTAATCTGAGGGAAAAGTAGAGTTTTTTTGATAATATCAAGCCAAGGAAAATGGAAAAGAGGAAGTTGTCCAGCCTATTAATAGAATTTCTAAAGCATTTTCTTGTCATTTGATAACATTTTTGGAAAAAAATGAAGGTGCTTTATATTTAAAATCAATTATTTGGAATAAGTGATTGAGGAGAATTAAGTAATTATAGTTAGTTTTATTACTCTTTTTAGAGAGAGGGGAAGGGAAGGAGAAAGAGTGGGAGAGAAACATCAATGTGTGATTGCCTCTCATGTGTCCCCTACTGGGGACCCGGCCTGCAACCCAGGCATGCGCCCTGACTGGGAATTGAACCGGCGACCCTTTGCTTCCCAGGCCTGTGCTCAATCCACTGAGCTACACCAGCCAAGGCAGCTTTTATTATTCTTGATACAGATTTGTTAATGGTACTTATCACAGGATACACATTTATGATTTTTTTAAAAGATTTTATTTATTTATCTTTAGAGGGGAAGGGAGGGAGAGAGGGAGAGAAATATCAATGTATGGTTGCCTTTTGTGCATCCCCTGCTGGGAACTGGCCTGCAGGGAACAGGTCTGCAACCCAGGCACATGCCCTGACTGGGAATTGAACCGCAATTGTCTGGTTTGCAGGCCCATGCTTAAATGTCTGGTTCACAAGGCTCACATTTATGATTTTATTTTAAAATATTTAATTATTGAAGTACAAGTTTAGTCCACACAAAGTCCAGATTTAGTTTGCACAAAATATCAGAATGCATTATTCAGAAACTTCCTGTAAAAGATTTAAAAGTCTAAGACTAAGTCTGGGACTTGAATAAGATAGCTAAGTAAAAACAATGATTTTATTCCTTCTTCTCATTCTATTTAAAATTAAAAATATGGGAAAATCTAAAAACTACTGAATCTAAAAACTAGCATTCTCATGGAACAAGCATAGAACATGCAATAAACATCATAGAGATGTGATTAGATTGAGAAAAGTGTCAGCTTTTACCCACTTCAATATGAAGTGCAGTATCTCTGACTCAGGTTGAGGTTCAGTTAACACCTAATTTGGAGGGAAATAAAAAAGCAGTTGGAATTCCCTCCTGTCTGTGTCTCAGTGTGGGATTATGAGGTTTAGAGGTGATTCTAACAGGCAGAAAGCTAGCAAGCCTTGGCTATGATGTGGCAGGTGGTTAACAATGGGAGGGAGGTAGGATGTACCTCCTTGTGTTCTTTATACAGTGTCTAGAATAATCACATGTATAGAGAAAGCTGACTTCTAGTGCAGAAAATGACAGAGAAATGATATTTTTTGAGGGCCTTTTTTCTGACTCATCTGAGACTGATGTAAAGCATCACTGAATTACAAAAGGGGATATACATTAACTAATAAGCTCCAATGACTTAAAATGTAAGGGGAAGGTTCTGATAGCAACTGCGTAGATACAAGGAAAATGCCATCTTTCTGTTTTCTGTAATTTTCTCACATATGAGGCTTCATAACATTTATCAAAATTTTCATTTTTTTTACCTTCCTCAGGACTGTTTTTTCTTTCTTCATTTTATCCTCAACATCCATTAGATTGCATGAGACATAGTAAGTGTGCATTTAACATTGGTTGATAAATGAATTGAATTGGCTTCAATACTTATTTCCTTGAATATCAAATGCCAAAAGATAGGCAGCATCTACAGAGATTTGGAAGAAGAGTTTCGACTTAAGACTTCCGAACCCTTATTACTTGTTCTCCATATGTAAAGGTGACATATTCTTAGATATGTAATAGTATGGAAGTATATTATTTAAGTACCCTTCCTGAAGTAATTGCATCACTTCAGCCAGGCCAGTGATGAATTAAGATGTCAAGAATGCACAAAGACATGGTAGCAGAGTAACTGTTTAGCATCACAAATTGTTAATTATGTAATACTAAATAGATCTTTAGACTGGGATCTGTTAAATCATAGGAATCCATAGATGGATTTCAGAGACTGTGAATGCTACTTTGAAATTTTATGTAAATACATTTATGTTTTTTTTCTTGGGAGGAATTCTTGAAAGGATCTGTCACTGCTAAAGAAAAGCAAGGACATTTCAAAGATTCACAAAATCCTAGGGTGCTAAATATAAAGCAAGAACAAGCAAATCAGTTTTAGTAATAAGATACCTAAATGGATAAAATATTCCTGTTAAAAAAGAGAAACTTTCAAATTGGGTTAAAAAACTAAATCTAAGTAGCTGATCTGTACTGGAGGTTCCTAAAATATCTAAATGGGAAACATGACAGTAAACAGATTGGCAAATGTGTATCTGTTATTCCCAGTTCGAAAGAGTTGAGGAAGGCAGTATTACTACCATACAAAATATAAATACAGAGTATGTTTAAAACAAGACAGCAAAGATTATTTTAAATAAGCTAGATAATAACAGATGTGCCTAATGCTAAAGGAAAGTTAGGAAGTTATTATGATTTCAATAATCAGAATTTGGTAGAAACAATTTAGTGGGTGATTTTGAATTTACCTCTAACTTCTTGGCATGTTAGATAGAGGAGGTTCAGCCAATTGAAGTGGATGCTAAAGATGACTCCTGTCATTACATTTGAAAAATACGATTGAAATGAGTAAATATTAATGAGTAAATACATTGAAATGAGTAAATATTCATATTTTTAGGAAAATATGAATAGTTAATATGTACTAAAATAGTGAAAGACATACAGTTGAACATGCAGTCAAGTTACCTTCAGCAAAGACACCAAATGTTGATGACTTTATAGGTGAGCTCTCTCAACTTCCAAAAAAATTTTCTATGCTTTATTTTCCAAAGCAAAGAAAAAAGAAACTAGCATGATACTGAAATAAAAACCTGGTAGAATAACCTGAAACAACCTATAGATAATTGTCACTCATGAAGATAAATATAAAAATTCTAAAATAATAGCAAATTGAACACTTTTTACATGTGTAAGACATCTTGACAATATAAGGATTATTTTTAAGAAAGTAAGCTGAGACTTCTGCCAAGATGAAGGCGTAGGTGGAAGCACTGCACCTTCTCGCACAACCAAGTTTAAAAACAACAAAGGTTTAGCAACAAAAACACAGCCAAACCACAGAAAATTGAACTACTCGGAAGTCTGACAACAACGAACCCTTCAGCCAAACTGGTAAGAGGGGCAGAGACAGCAGCAGAGCCGGGTCGGGCAGGAAAGATCCACTGGACCAACCCAGGCACACGACCCATATGCACCAGCAGCCATGGGCGGATCCCAGGTGTGGAGAAATGGGCGGGCCCACTGGGGGCACAAGGCGGTGGACCCACTGAGGGCTGATGGCAGTCACACATTCATGTGCAGATAAACCGGTGGAGAAGTGATCAGTAAGACAAACTGCGCAGGCCCCAGCAGCAGGAGGAACTGCCATTGTCCCTCTGACCCTGCCCCCACATACAGCATCACAAACCAATGACCTTGGTGGCCCTGCCCTGGTGAACAACTAAGGCTCCGCTCCTCATACACAACAGGCATGAACAGATCAAAACATGGCTCAAGAATAACTCAGAGCACCAGAGCCAATAAATCTAAGCAATGAAGAAATAGCCAAACTTTCAGGTGCACAGTTCAAAACACTGGTGATCAGGATGCTTATAGAACTGGTTGATTTTAGTCATAAATTAGAGGAACATATGAAGGCTAAACTAATTGAAACGAAGTGAAATGCACAGGAAACCAATAGTAATGGAAAGGAAACTGGGACTCAAATCAAAGGAGTGGACCAGAAGGAAAAAAAAAATGACCAAACAGAAAAGGATGAAGAAACAAGAATTCAAAAAAATGAGGAGAGGCTTAGGAACCTTCAGGACATCTTTAAACGTTCCAACATCTGACTTATAGGGGTACCAGAAGGGGAAGAGGAACATCCACAAGTGGAAAACTTATTTGAACAAATAATAAAGGAGAACTTCCCCAATCTGGCAAAGGAAATAGACTTCCAGGAAATCCAGGAAGCTCAGAGAGTCCCAAAGAAGTTGGACCCAAGAAGGAACACACCAAGGCACATCATCATTATATTAGCCAAGATTAAAATGAAGGAGAGAATCCTAGAAGCAGCAAGAGATAAGGGGACAGTCATCTACAAAGGGGTTCCCATCAGACTGTCAGTGGATTTCTCAAAAGAGACCTTACAGGCAAGAAGGGGCTGGAAAGAAGTATTCTAAGTCATGAAATCCAAAGACCTACATCCAGGATTGCTCTATCCAGCAAAGCTTTCATTTAGAATGGAAGGACAGTTAAAGTGCTTTTCAGATAAGATCAAATTCAAGGAGTTCATCATCACCAAGCCCTTATTATATGAAATGTTAAAGAGACTTACCTAAGAAAAAGAAGATAAAAAAGATGAACAGTGAAAGGACAGCAAACTTGCAGTTATTAAGAACTACACCTAAAACAAAAGCAAACTAAGAGGACAGCTAGATCAGGAGCAGAGCCATAGAAATGAAGATCACATGGAGGGTTAGCAGACAGGGGAGTGGGAGAAGGAGAAGGGGGGGAAGGTACAGAAAATAAGTAGCATAGATGGTAGGTAGAAAATATTTAGGGGGAGGGCAAGAATAGTATGGGAATATAGAATCTAAAGAACTTGAGACACGTGGTCATAAACTAAAGGGGGGAATGGTGAGGGGGTGTGCAGAGTGGAGGGGAATGAAGGGGGGAATAGAACAACTGTAATGGCATAATTAATAAAAAATGTTAAAAAAAGAAAGTAAGCCTATTATAATATTGAGATTTTAATAAGATTTATCATTACATCAAAGGAAGAAAACCAATGATATCTTAGTAAATGCCTTGAAGAGATTTAATAAAAATCATTATTAGTTACAAATAAAATTTTTTTAGGCATCCAGAAATATTTCCCAAACAATCTGTTATCTAACTCAGATCAATAGCCAACATCACACACAGTAGTGAATGTTAAAGGATGCTTCTCTCAACCGTCGTTAGTGAACATCATTTTGGAAGTTCTAGTTGAATAAGTGGGACGTGGAAAGGAGAGACTGGAGTCATTAAGACTGAAGTAATACGAATTTGTGTCTGTGAAGGATGTTAGTGTCTGTGTAGGCAATACAAGCAAATCAACTCTAAAACGTATGTTAGACAAATAAAAGTTCAATAGAATACTATTTACAGGATAAATGAATAAAATTCAGTAGCTTTTCTGTTTCTGTGTTTTCTCATATATAGCAGCAGAAACCAGTTATAAAACATAAAGGGAAAGTAAATCACATTTACAGGAGCAAAGCAACAACAAATTAACCCCTTGGAGCGTGCTTTCTAAAACCTTACAGAAAGTGCCGACTCACTCTTTTGTTTTATGATACAGAGAGAGTAAAATTTATCTGACTAGGTTCTTATTGGTAAGCATTTGAATTTCCCCGTATATTTTTGTTTTTAGTATAAAGGAGCCAAGAATATTTTGAAAACTAACAACAAGGAATGATTTATATTCTTTGATTTCAATTCTGTAAATAGGCTATAATGATTAATTATTGGAAATGGTACATGAATAGATCATAGATCATTAGAATAGAGAGGAAGGCCTCAGATGCCCGAAACCACATGGCATTTCACATCTGGCTATAAATACCAGAGAGAAATACAATAGAAAGGAAAATATTTAAAGGTTTCATTAAAAATTAAAACATATTTTGCCTCTGATGCTGAATTGCATTTCCCCTTCTCCCTGTCCAGGCAGTCATCTTTCTTGGTTGCAGCAGGCTTTTCTTAGTCAATTCCTTTCTTTTTTCCTAACAGTTCTTTCTCCAAATGTCAGTTCTTCCCTTGTTTGTCCGTGGCTAACTGCTGCAAATACACTGGCATAAATAGACCCAGAATACTATATACAATACAAATACTTATTTTTTTGCTCTCTACTTCCAGAAGAGTTTGAGCAAACTTAGTAACTATATTAGTTAGGATAGACTGAGTTGTTGTTACAAAATGACTCAATATAGTACAGTAGTCATTCAACTAACAAAAGTACTAACGTACATATTTATAGCACATACCCTTTGCCTGGCACAATACATGTATAATCCCTTTAATGCTCACAAGAACACTGTGAGTGGGTATCTCTGTCCATTTTATAGATGAAGAAAATGAGACACAGTTAACTGAGGTAACTTGCTCAAGGTCAAATAGCTAGTAGGTGCAGGAGTCCAGTATTTGAATTAGGTGTTTTGTCTCTAGAGCCTCTTTACTGCACTGCAACAAGACAGAAGAGGCAGTAGGCCTCTTCTCCACCAGGTCATCAAAGGAAGTGGGTTCTTTTTGTTTTTATCATCTCCTCTGGCGCATATGCATGTGGAAAATGGTGATGAAAGTAAAATTGAGAGAGAAATTTTATTTCTGAAGAATATGACCTGGAAGTGGTATTTACTATTGTGTCTCGCATACCATTAGCCAAAAATTGGTCATATGACTGTATCTACCAGAAGGGAGGCTGGAATCTATAATATCTAGTTAAAACTCAGAGGTTCTGTTACTGGAAGGAAAGAGCAGGGGACAGCTACATGAGGAGTGGGGAGGAGTTAATATT